GACAACTTCAATCTTTTCTCCGTTGAGACGGATGCTGTTTATTGGTCCAGTGGTGAGGATTTTTATTTTCTTTACATTCTAAGGCCGATGCAGTCTTTGATTCTAAGTATCTTAAGTCCTCTTTGCTTTCAGCAAGCAAGGTTGTATCATCTGCATATTGCAGGTTGTTAATGAGTCTTCCTCCAATCCTGATGCCATATTTTTTCTTCATATAATCCAATTTCTCTCATTATTTGTTCAGTATACATATTGAATAAATATGGTGAAAGAATACAACTCTGGTGCACACCTTTTCCTAATTTAAAACCATTTGGTGTTCCCTTGTTTTGCTTGAACATCTGCCTCTTGGTCTGTATCCAGATTCCTCATGAGCACAACTCCGGAATTCTTCCGGAATACTCATGTTTTGCAATGTTGTCCATAGCATGTCACAATCCACACTACCGAAAGCCTTTGTGTAGTCAATAAAGCACAGGTAAACAGCTTTCTGGTATTCTCTGTTTTCAGCCAAGATCCATCTGATATCGGCAATGATATCTCTCGTTCCACAGTCTCTTCCGAGTCCAGCTTGAACCTCTGGAAGTTCTCTGTCAATGTATGCATGCAGCTGTTTTTGCATTATCTTTAACAAAAGTTTTCTCACTTGGGAAAACGAAACCAAAAGTGGCAAGCTGAATTTGACTGGGTTGTTGTTTGGCAAGTCGAAACAAGGGTCTCTCTTCTCTGGGTGGCACACACCAGCAAACACTGGACTAATTATCCAGTTATTTGGTAGTTTGACCCTACTCAGGTGTCACAGAAGACAGGTTTGATGAATCCACTTCCACAAGGCAAGTCTGGAACATCCTGTGAAGTTCTATTCTGCACACACGGAGTTACCATGCATCAGAACTGACTTAGTGACAATATCATCCAAACCAGAAAACCAGGACTCATGGTGATCCCGCCCCCATATCCAAGTAGACTTGCATTACATCAAGTTTGTTATGGTTTAAATGACGTCTTAAATATGCGTCATAAATCCTAACTTCTGCTGCCCTCTGTGGCTGGAATCCCATTTGGAACTAAGCTGTCTGTGCTGTGTAATGAGATCGGATTAATATAGGATGTACCAAGAGTCAATCTTTTGGAGATGCAAGATTAAATACCAGTGACAAGCAGCTATGCCAAGTCACATGAAGACCACCTAGGAGAAGGCTTCCCCGGGAGAAGCTCAGGAGACATGAGGACCCTCCCCCTTCAGAACTGACAGAACCCTTTTCCCTTACAGCTGGCAGCCTGAATTCACACTTGTGTTTCTTAAACAGAACATTTGTTAACGCCACCCCATTTACATTTGTCATAACCAACACTAGAGAATGAAACTCGCTTTCAATGGGCCGCTATTTTTCAGAAGTAGATCACCAGGCCCTTGTGAGGTGCCACTGGGTGGGCTCCCCAAGAATATTCCCCATTTGCATCACCCAATCTTATCCAATTTGGATGCACTTACTTATTCTTTCTGGTATGAACACTAAGGAGCTCTGGTAGTGTAGTGGTTATGAGTCAGGCTGCTAACTTCAAGGTCAGCAGTTTGAAACCAGCCACTGTTTCACCGGAGAAAGATGAAGTTTTCTGTTCCCATGAAGATTTACAGCCTCGGAAACCCTATACAGGGCCGCTGAGTTGGAACCAACTCCACCACCAGCCTGGTGTGGTTCTGTGGGTTAACGCGCTGGACTGCAAAGTCACTTGGACCATGAGGTCAGCAGTTCAAGCTCACCAGCTGCTCCTCGGAAACCCTTTATAGGGTAGTTATGGGTCGGAATTGACTCGACGGCACTAAACAACCATCACCAGTATAAACACTGCTTATATTTTAGCTTTTCATGTCTGCGTTATACTACCAGCTGGACAACAAATCTTTCATTTCTTTATATCCCTAATGCTCAGTGGTCTAAAAGAAGTCCCCCAATTTCAAAATCTCACATAAAAAAACAAAAACAAAAAACATATGAGACGTTTTACCTAGTGATGCGGATTTATCATGAAGGGCTCTCACAGCAGACTCTGAAAAAGGAGAAACGAATTCTGTTGAGTATAAACTCTCAGGGTTTCAAGCTGGCTAGTTTCAGACTAGTCATCTCCAGAGGCCAAGCAGAGATGAGAAATTACTATCCTTGCACACTCATTGCTCCCCATGATTGTAATGTTAGTGATAGCAAAAAAACCCCAAAAAACCCCAAAACCAAAAACACACACACGAAAAAAGATGTTCACATCTTAGCCTCGCAGACCTCAGATTGAATTCTGATGTTTCAAGTGCTCAGTAGACACATCTGACTTAAGTGCTGTTGAGTCAGTTCCGACTTCTATCAACTTTCTATAAGGTTTCTAAGGAGCAGCTGGTGGGGTTGAACCGCCAAACTTGGGAGTTCAAACAGCTTTGCAGTCTGGCACATTAACATCTGATTATTATGTGTCGTGGAGTCTGTTCTGACTCATAGCGACCCTGTTCCATAGGGTTTTCGAAGCTGTAAATCTTTACGGAAGCAGAAAGTCTCATCTTTCTTCCACGGAACAGCTGGTAGTTTCGAAATGCTGACGGTGAGATTAGCAGCCCGATTCATAACCACTACACTACCAGAACTTCTTAATGTATAGCTGTCATATTAGGCAGCACAGCCAGGAAGTGTTTACTTCTCAACTTTGGGTGCTTCAAAACCTCTGTGAAGAACTCCATTTTTCAATTCTATTTTTTTCCATGATCTCTTAGATGACCCCTTTTAATACTTCTAGGAGAAAGATGAGGCTCTCCCGCTTCCATAAAGATTTACTGTCTCAGAAACGTGATATAGCGTCCCTATGACTCAAAATCAATTTGACTGGCAGTGGGTTGGGTTCCTTGGTTTGTATTAGAATTACATCCAGGAAATTTCTAGTTCTGGGTAGCGTAATTGGATTGACTGCTAACCTAAAGGGTGCTTCGAACCACCCAGTAATTCTGTGGAAGAAAGGGTTGGCAAGCTGTTCCTATCAAAATGACAAAGAAAATCCTATGACGTTTTACTCTATATAAACACATGGGATTGCCATGGGTTGGAACTAGCTTGACAGGAAAAAAAAAATCCATTCCTGAGGACTTCTGGTGTGGCGCTGTAGGGTCGATCAGTACTGGGCTGTGACTGCACTTGGAAACCCTATATGGCACTTCATGTGTGAACTCAGCAACCTTGGTATCATCCTGAGAGCCTGGACTCCTCACTGACCAACACCTACTGCCATCGAGGCTTTTCGGAAAGGACAGAGTTGAACTGCCTTCCTCCCCACCCCCCAAGGAAACTGTGAGAGTCAGCTGGGAGACGTGGCCCCAAACCTACTTTTAAATAGACTCTGCCTCTACCTGTGGCAGTTTAGCTGTGCGAAGTACAAGAGGTACTCAAGAAAAAGTGGCGTCTTAATGTGTGAATCTAAGCAGAAGACTGAACTAAGCTCTGCTTGGGTGGAGGCGCTTACAGGCAGTGAGCCTTCACATTTCACAAGCAGAGTGCTCGGAAGGAGTACAAGTAGGTAAACATCCATCAGAATCAGGACAGACACCACCAGGTTTGATGAAGGTCTCGGATCTGGGCCAAGGTCTCTGAGCAGCACAACTGGCTTGCTCTCAATCACTAACATGATTTGGAACCCAGCCAGCTGCACCATGTAAGAAAGTCCTGGTGAACTGCTTTCGTAAAGATCACAGCCAATGAAAACCCTGCGGACTAGAGCTCTAGTCTGCATGTGCACGGTTATTATGGCTCAGAATCAACTTGAGAGCAGCAAATAACAGCATTTTTTTTGTAGTTTCTTTAAAGGCCCAATGGTATTTCTGGTGTCTCTAAAAGCCGGAGACCATTATTCTCCCCTCTCCTCCCGCCCACACAGACAGACAGTCAGACAGACAGACAGACACATACACACACACACACACACACACGCCATGTGGGCCGTTTTCTCCTCACCTTGGATTTCATCCATGGCTCTCTTAGACAGATCGACGCGGTTCATTTTGTCAAAAATCTGGACGGTCACCATTTCCGCCCAGTACTTGTGGCAGCCGTTGAGAATTTCTGCCAGTTGCTTCCCGTTGGCATCATCGATCTCAGTCTTGGGGAACTCTTGCTGGTGAACTATACTTTCCTGGGGAAGGGACTTCAGTAGAGATTTGAACTGACTCAACTCCTCCGCGTTCAGCTCTTCCAGAAGAGGCTGCAGGTTGAAACCAACCCGTGGACAATGCTCCATCTTGTCCTGCACCAAGGAGGTCTTAGGAAATCAATATTAAAGGATTAAGGTCCATGAAGTATGAAAACCAAACAATAATTTAGATTAAGAAATACAGTGCTCCTAATCACAATAGCAAAAAAATTGGAGACAGACTAAGTGCCCATCAATGGAAGAATGGATAACAAACTTTGGTACCTTCATACAATGGAATATTATGCTACCTTGAAGAACAAGGAAGCTACAAGCCACCCCACAGCATGGAGGAAACTTGAGGCCATTACACTGAGTGAAATTAGTTACAAAAGGACAAATATTACATAAGACCATTATTGTAAGAACTTAAGATATCCATTCTAAAAGGGAGAAAATTTTTTTGTTGGTTATGGGTGGGATGGGGGTGCAGTGGGGGATGGAGGGGTGGGATGGTAGAACACAAGGTATGGGGCAGACACATCATAGTTCGGGTAACATAGTTGGGGAGGGCAACACACAAGGAGGAGCAGTGGGTGGAAGAACAAGGTAGATAGGGGAACACTGAAGCAGGTTGTTATTATATGCCATGGAGTCGGTTCTGACTCATAGTGACCCTGGACAGGGTTTCCGAGGCTGTAAATCTTTACGGGAGCAGAAAGCCTCATCTTTCTCCTGTGGAACAGCTGGTAGTTTTTTGAACTGCTGACCTTGCGGTTCGCAGCCCCATTCGTAGCCACTACGCTACCAGAGCATGGGCTAAATGGGAGAGAGGTAAAGAGCATGCATGCTCAACACTGGGAACAACAGGGCTCTGTGATACAGGGATTGAGGCATACCCTGAAGGGGGAAAATGTTAAGATTGTCTTATCAGCACTGGTTTCCCTTGCCTACTATTGTAGACACTTGAGTAGGATAGAAAGGAATGCCGGGAAACATGATTACAGTAAGTTTGTAAGCCTGTCTTCAGCCTATAACTCATTGGAATATATAAAAGGGGTTCTAGAATTTGCCCAGTGAAATAGGGCTCTTGTGGAACCTTTGCAGTGTATAGGACCTTAGGTGGAATCCTGAGCCCCATCCAGAACCTTCTGAGGTGGGACATTCCCATAGCAAGGACAAGCAGACCAGCCTAAAACAGCTAGAATGACAGAGGACGCATCTTTGAAGAAAGATCAGCAGGAAAACTCCAAAACCGGCAACCTGATTGGCTGCTACAAGAACAAGCAAGTTGTTCGCGGGGGAGTCATCAAGGCAAGCAATCAAGTCCCTTCAGGACAACCCCCACCCCTCTAAGACAAACTCAAAGGGAATACATGAACAGGCATGTAAGTTTACTGGCAACCATGTTGGTCTACTGATGAGTGGAAGAGGGGGAAAGGCAGCAATGAAGATATGGGCTGAGTTCAACAAAGTTCCATAGACTCCCATCGACGAGGAAGGGCTGGTTGGTCCAAAGTGAGGTGAGACCTGAGGACCCTTGAGCCCATGGACAAGGACACAGCCACAGAGGGCTGGAGCTGAGAGTGAAGCATCCAGCTGATGTGAAGTGAGGGGAGACACACAAGAACACCCAAACTTGCAGATAGTACCCATTTGACCTAGCCTTGATGGCTTGATAATCAGAACTCAACTAGAGGAAGATAAAAAACAATTTTTTGATGAAGGAAACGATTGTAAATTGCTACAATTTGATGAACTTGATCTATACTCATGGAGGTAGCAGCTCAAAATACCAACAGAGAGGGAAGGGGTCTTCACATCAACTATCAGTCGTATCTCCCCTCTGTACACAGGGTAGATAGGGATGGGCAACTTCGACATTGGCTACCTAAAATGAGGGGGCTATAAAAGCACTAAGTGACTGGCTTACAAGGTTTCAAGAGGAAGTTTAGTTTAAGAGTATGCGGGGGAAGCTAGAGTCCCCCATTGAATGTTTTTCACCTTGTCCAGACAGGAGATAGTGATAAGATTCTTATGATTTAGTGAGTAATTGATAAGATACTTGATTTAGTAGTAATTGTTATTAGTTCTGGTAGCGTAGTGGTTATGAATCGGGCTGCGAACCTTAAGGTCTGCAGTTCGAAACTACCAGCTGCTCCGTGGGAGAAAGATGAGGCTTTCTGCTCCTGTAAAGATTTACCGCCTTGGAAACCCTGTACAGGGTTGCTATGAGTCCATGGCACATAACAATTATCAGAGGAGTCCCAGTGTGGCGCTGTGGGCTAATGCGCCAGATTGCAAAATCATTTGAACTGCAAAGTCGGTGGTTCAAGCTCACCAGCTGCTCCTTGGAAACTGTATACAGGGTTGCTATGGATTGGAATCGATTCGACAGCACTTAACAATTATGACTAATTGAGACCATCACAACTGTAAAGGTACAAGTTTTGTAACAAATGGGGGAGTAGTTAATTACAGTCCAGAAACAGAGGATCCTAGGACCATCAAGGGAGAAGAGCACAAGTGGAGTGTGGGACCCTTTACAGAAAAGCTCCAACACCAGAGCTGGAGGCAGAGATGGGGACATGGAGAGAGGGAGCAGCTGAGGACTCTGGATTCATGGAAAGAGAGGGACTGGGTGCTGGCAGCCAGGAGGCAGGCTTGCAGAATGTGCCTTTTGGTTGATTAAATTATATATTCCTTAGTGTTTCTGTGTATATCCTCCCTTCCCCCCCCCAAAAAAACCCCCAAACAAAACAAAACAGGGAATGGAAGCAAATACTGTTGAATGATGCACAGAGGAGATTGTAATCATTGCAATGAAACGATGGTGTAAAGCTGATGCTCTCCCACGTAAACTATCACTCAGTTCACAATAAAAAAATAAATACAATATTCAAAGTTGACTACTGGGGTGGGGGGTGCGGGCTTCAGAAAGTTCACAGAAAACTGGAATTGAAAGATAAGAGAATTTTTCCAATCTGTTTAAAACCTACTCACCTTTATGGGATCAGACTGAAAACTGCAAATGCAAAGATTAGAAAACTTAGGTAGTAGTGTGTTTATGTTAATGGAAACGGAACAACGAAGAGAAAACAGTTGTATATCTCAATGTGGTCAATGTATATTGAGTACAGTGTCGCTGTATACTGTTTGTTTCCCCATTATTTAGAGAACACTTTATTAAGTTTCTATAATCAAACCCATGTAGACAAGACCTTACATATTTAATACAGTGTACTACCCCTATAC